CTTGGCTGAATGAAGGCACGACACCATGGAAAGGGGCCAATTTTTCGTCCTCCTCTCCCGACGGGGCATGGGACACGGGAAATATTTAACACGGCCAAAACAGAATTTTCTGATTTGCAACACCCTCTAGAAACATCCATACATTTTCTCGCTTGCTCCGCTGATCTAATCCGGAATTCTGAGCCTATTTTTCAAGAGTAATCTAAGACAGAAATCCGAATTAGGGTCAATCGTGACATTCGCATATTTTCAGAAATTTTGCGACCCCCTCCTTTAGGGGGTCTCGATGCGACCCCCCCCACCACCACCATGAGACTCAGGAGGCTCCCCAATACGACCCCCCCCCTTCCCCTTCCCGACCACCACCCTCACCATCATGGCTGTTTCTATAGTATTTGATTCTGAGACCAGTCGACACAGCCCAACTCCGCCCACTTCTCCTCCTCCAAAAGCTATTACTACTGTTCTCTACTCCCACCTATCCTACCTCCCAATTACATCCACAAAATCCCTCAAAAAACCATTCACCCAACAAACTAATCCCACTCAACCCCTGAATGCGACCCCCCTCACCAAAACCAACCACAAATGCGACCCCCTCGTTCGAATAGTGCGAACGCACGGTTCACCCTGATCCTAATATGTCTGAACGATCTTTGGTAATCTTTCGTGATGTGCAACCTGATTTAAGGCTTTTTGTGGAAGCAAATGGCACTCTTTGCACTGAACAAATACAACGCATTGTCTCGCTCATTCGCATCCGCCCTCCCACATGGCCTTCGTGAAATGCTGAAATGTTTCTGATTCTCTGGTCGCGGAAATGCACATCTTCTCGCTGTCTTCTAGAACAACGCGATTACCGTTGTCGTTAAGCGCTGGAAATCGAAAATATTGCGCTAAACACGCGATACGTGACGACGCGCTATGCCTGTTAACTCTAAATGGACTTTTTCGACGTACGAAAATTGACAAGTGGCCAAGCAACGAAGGATGCCGCGCTATACGGTGATGGTTAGTGGCAATCAATACATTTGGGGAATGTTTCGAACTGCTTTCAAAGAATTCCAAATACATTAGCGACATGGCAGCTTCTGCAATCTTCTTCTTTGCAGATTATTCGGCAATCGCTTTCCTGCCGGTCATCATGATTGGAGCCGTGGTGCTGGGCATCTGCGGTGTATGTCAGTACAAGCGATGGAAACACGAAAAAAAGCAGGTACTACCGTAGTGACCGTACAAATTCGTCTGAAATTCAACCTGCTCTAGGGGGCTTTCTCTGAGAGCACTTTTCATTCAGATTGCACATCTCAACCATTTTTACGACATCTTCGAAGGATCCCCCCTCCGATGCCGCAAAATGCTCATGGTCGAGCATTCCGACATCGACGAGGTAAGCCACGTTTGCGGCTGTTTCACTGGTAATTAAATTTTTGATACTAACTTAGTTGGAGAGGGGGGAGGGGCACAGTTGCCGCCACACTGCATGTCACCATTCTGTGTAAAGCGGAGAAAACTGTGAGCCGGGGAAAATACAGGGGTGGCCAAAAAAGAGACACTTCACTCCACATTTCAGACAGCATTAATCACACTTTGCTAAACTCAATAAAATTGTTGATTTTGTATATCATTGAACTGTTCTATTTGTAAAATTAAAACTGTTTTTGTTTTTGTTTTTCGATCTCAATATTGTTATATGTTTTATTCAAAATTTATTTAGGGGGTGGGATTCAAAGAGTAGTTTAGTCTCCGTTTCGCACGTGCTACTCAAACGAAATACTCCCAACTTAGTTTTAAAGAGCCTATCCTCATCTATCATAAATGTTATAACAGCTTTCTGCACCAAGGACATCACAAGAATTTGCCATGGGAACCTTGTGCACGGTTCGAGCTCAACTGGTCCTCGACGGATCATGGACCATTACGACGTTATCTGAAACGCTGGTCGGAAGGGTCTTGCATGTTCAGAGCTACTGTCTCTAGGAAGCAATCTGTCAGTGAACCGATTGAAGAAATTTCGTAGCAGCTTCAGGCTGGAACGATTACTTTAGGCCTTCTTGAGCTCAACGGTGATGGAAGATGACGTCATATTTTGAGGACGGTGAGGGCAGTGGAAGAGGGCCTGCTTCTACTTATGGAGGACATCTAAGGGATATTTTGCCGTGAAGCTTTCCATCAACAGCGGCACCCTGTGCGATGAAAAGTTTGATGATGT